TCCATTTTAATTGGTATTTATTTTTATTTAAAAATTATTAAAGTTTATTATATTTATTTATTTATAAGGAAAAAACCGAGTTACCGGTTCGATTCCGGGTTTAAATGACACGATTCCGGGTTTTAATATATACTCGAATCGATTTTCCGATTCGAGTCCGGGTTTTCATAAAAACCCGGACCGAACCGGACCGTGCGGAACACTACGAAGATATCACCGAGTTCACTATTCTTGAAACTACTACGTACCTTTAAAAATTTTATTCAATTTATTGGTAATAATTATATAGGTTGAGTCAATAGAAAAAAAAACGCTCTTGAAAAATTTTAATGTGGCACGGGAAACGTTTGCCAATGGATTGGTTAATTATAATCACTACTGTAAAAAATCGCTAGCTTGGTAATCAATTTTACGAGCCAAAATTGCAGTCAAATTTTCCGGAAATGGACCAGAATTATTTAATTAGCGTTAGGATTAAGGCATTTTTATTAGAATCAGTGGCATCTTTTTTAGTACCAAAGGGTAGGTTTAAAGTGTCATTTTTCATATTTTTCATATTTTTCGTATTTTTGTTTTATTGGTTATCGGATTGATCTTTGTCATCCGCGTATGCTGGCTATTTCTAGAAAATTCGAACTGATATATCTTTACGTATTGTAGAAATTATTTCGTAATTTTGTCGATCAAACCTGGCACTTGCTGATAAATTTTATTTTATTTTAACTACAGAACTAACATTTGCGACTCTCCCAATTCGATTATTTTATATCATAATTGATAAGTTTATAAACACGCATCACAACAAATAAAATAATGCGCCACATTTGACGCGATTTACGTTTGTTGTTACACGCATTTTAAAAATGTATAAATGGTTGCGTAAACAATTAAGTTAGCTTTTTGATCAAATTTTCATTATGAGTTATTTTTCCAGTTTATCAATAATTCCACCTGATAAAAAAAAACAAGACTTTGTTTATTCTGAGTCGTCAAGTTCACCAGATTTTTCAGACACTAGTAAGATTAATACAGTAATACATAATTTATATCGTTTAATTACCGTTATTATGATTTATAAATTATTTAATTATAACACTATATAGCGATAAGCAGTGATGAGCAAAAGAATTTGATAATCAATCACGTTCCTCATCATTTTCGTTCACGTCATTCACTATCTGTATCCCGTAAAGCTGGTGAACGATTATAAAATTTGTCGTTTCTTCATTTTAATCATTTAAAGTTAATTATTATTTCTTCTTCAGATAAAGCTAGCAAGACGTACATGACTGGAATATGCAAACAAGACTTTGAATATATCCAAAAAAAACTAACGACTATCCTTGAATCTCAAAATGTTAACGAGTATAATGTAACGGGATCAGAAAATATTTCTCCATACTTTCTTCTTGATAAATCACCGAAATCTTATATCACTTTCTCGTACGGAAATGATACTTATAATGATGTACTGGAAACTGAAACTGACGAACGGTTAAGGTGTACCGAACCTGGATGTGATCAAATCTTTGAGTGTCAACGTACTTTATTACAACATAATCGTATACATACCATGCCTATCCCTTATATCTTGATTGAGGAAAAGAAACCATCGCATTTGAAGAAATATATTAAACCAAGAAGCATGTACAGTAGACACAAAAAGCAACGCCTGATTTTTTAATAAACTGGAAACATGAATTATTTTATTTTTGCCTATATGTTATTTGCACAATTTTCAATTTATGTTACTTTGAAATTGTCTTAAATTTGAGTAACGCACACGTTATTTCACAATCGGTGAAAATTTATCAAAAGCATAAATTTATATATAAGCTTTTTGGTTAATATTACATAAATTTTAAAAAATGATAATCTATACATTCATATCGTCTTACGCATGATACAGTATATATATTTTTTTTTGAGCAGAAAACACTTTTCACTTGAAGATTTGCCAAATCATTGATAAAAATTTCTTATAGTTATATAATATTTTTTATGAACAACTTTCGCCAAATTTTTTCGGTTAATATATTCTTACCTTGTGACGTTTTGTTCAAAAAACTTTCGAAAACAATAAACAAGTTGGTGGAACTTTTATGAATGTTCGTTTTGTAATATAAACTTTACATTATCGCACTGCATCTTCGCTTCGACTACCTGCTGAATATATAACAGTATCATATTCTTAGTGTTTGTAGTCGACCCTTATTTATCGATTTGATTAAGTCGATTGATTACTTTCATGCTCGTATTTTATGATCGTTAATTTTCTTTTCAGAATTTTTGTTACTTTACATAGGGATTGGAATCGGTTTAGTCGACTAAACCGATTCCAATCCCTAACTTTACAGCTGCTTTCATTATTTTTGGGACACTTGAAAAAATTGTTGATGACCGAATCGATAAGTTTTTGATGCCGGTCGACGTACTTGTTGATTCCGACTCGGTAACTTATCGATTCGGCCGTCAAAAAATTTTTCAGATGTCCCAAAAATTATGACAACAGCTGTAATATAATCTAACAAAGTCGACTAAGTAGATTTTGAAAATTGGCTGACTAAGCCGGCTAAGTCGATAAAATCGACTCGACTGTAGACACTATCATATTCAACCTTTTTCTAAGTTTATCTTGACCGGTGCGTTCGGATGCTGCGAATCATTCGACTAGATAATTGCTTCCTTAAATTATTTCTGGTTTACTTAATTAAATGAAGCTCTTTTAGCCTTGCTAATATAAAAGATTTTAAAGGTATGAATAATCCAGTATTTAAAACTTAAAATTACACAAAAGGTTTTGATTCTTCAGTACGTTCGAACATTCACCATAGCGTAAGTTTTCAATATTCGATCGAAGGAATCAAAATTGTATCTTTAATATCAATTCGAAGTCACGTTATCATTATTTAATTTTATCGATTTTAAAATCATATCGTAGTATAATGTTTAAATTTAATAACTTATTGCATTAAACTTTTTTTTTTAAAAAAATCCAATGATAATCGTCGTTCTCTCTTGGGAAGCTCTCATGCCTTTAGATATTGTCTTTATCAATTTGCATATCATATTGTCCTATTCATCGATATTTTTTAGAGATTGGAACCGGTCAAAATTTGTTTTTTGTTGACTTTTGCCCTGTCAAAAGGTCAGCCGTATCACATAATAATCAACAACAAATTGATCATATCACAGACGCAATCGGGCCCTAATAAACAAAAAAAAAGGTATATTTAATATTAACCTGTTTCTTAACCGTTCATAATTTTTATGACCGATCAAATTTGGATATTGATCGATTAATCGGTAAATGGTTTTAATTTGATCCATTTATAACTTCGATATGAAATTTCATATATGTATTTATTCTATGATATTTATTTAATTTACCTTCATATAACAAGTGAAAGAATATAATAAACCTTCACGTTACATAAAGCTTAGGTGATTGTAATAAAAAATTTACATTTATTAGTATACCAGTGTTAATAAGTTTGGTAAGAGTTAATCACATTATAAATATTATGTATGGTATATTATTTTTTTTTGTGTACCCTGCTCGAAAAAATTTATCTGAGTACGGTCACTTTTCTGTACCATACACTTTTTCTGTACCGTACCGGAAAGGTATATACTCTCATTTAATAATTTACCTGACAATGTAACCTACATTGTAAGTTACATCATACGGGCCAAATTTAAATTTAATGATTATCAGTATCTGATTCAGATCAAAGCTCAAATCTTGTGAAAATTTATAAGCCAAGTTAATTCGCGAAATCAAGATCTAAAACCGATGCTGATTCAAAATGATTTAACAGAGTTCACTGAAGAAGTTTCAACTTGGCTGAGACAAAATAAAATTATTCTTGAATTTAGGTGAGAAATCACTAAGTAAATTTCTTGTCGTTATGTATCTGAAGTTACACTGCCACTAGGAGAACTGGAAGCGCATCGTGGCCACAGGCATGCAATGTCTGAACGTCCTTCTCTGTTGTACATACCTGAAAAGCTTGTCCTGCTTTGCGCGGAGGTTGTGGTGAATAGGATGCAATTAATGATGATTACTTATCTTTTTACTTATTTTTTTCTTTATAGTCGCAATAACCTTTTGTTGGGAACTACAAAAGACATATTATTTGAGTTTATTGCAACAACACATATGAAGAGTTAATGATATTGAACAACTTGTTCTTGGTAAGTTCCAACAAAATCACTTCCGGTCACTCTAATCCAAGCGTAATTAATATTTTTATTCTTATTATCCTAGAGCGTAAAGTTTTTCCAGGCGAGGAATCTTACATTCTTTGTACCGGTCTTTATTTTTAATTATTCGACACCACTTTTTCTCTGGGGCTTTCAAGATTATTTAGCTCCAACGTAAAGAGGTACGATGTCATTTTTTGCGGATCTTTAGCAATTCACCGGCTAACGAAGAGTGACAATCAAAGTTGGATCCAAAAATTTTATCTTTATGGGAAAAGTGTGGTGCCAGTAATAACAATAGTTGAAGAAATAACTTATATTGCCTTAAGTTTTATGTCGTGTTCTTATGAATTGTAATTTTATTTACATTATCGCAGACAAAGAAAGCTTTCAAAGATCTTTTCGTCATCACGTGACCACAACGCTCGCCAGATCCGTCTATAATATAGATAACTTTAGTGCATATCAAGCTACCGCTCACACGTAAGCAATTTAAAGAAATAGTCCTATAAGTCGTCCTTATTGGAGATTTCTAATATATAATATGCTTAATACGTATATAGTGTTCGTGATCGATTAATCAAACGATGGAATGATACCCAGCAGGTCTGTTCTGGGGTTTTCTTTAGTCCAAATTTGTATAATACCATGTTCATATTTTTCTTATATTCATATTATTACAAGAAATTAACAAAGTTTATTTTAATATATAATTAACGAAAGGACTTGTTTTGTGTTTTTAGAATCACACCGAAGATGACCCAAAGCGCGTTTATTATCGTCTTTGAAATTCTTATTGGGTAGATCACTGAATAATGCCCTTCTTAATTTGGGATTAAAGGAAAATTTTGGAGGTATTTATTAATTTGAACCCATTATTTAAATTTATTTTATATCGTTTTTTTTTTTTTTTTAATATGCGCATTACTTTCAAATTTTGCAAGAATTTAGGTCTCAGAATGAAGGATGTCCTTGATGAAGAAGTTGATGCTGCTCTTGGTAACGGAGGTCTCGGTCGTCTTGCCGCTTGTTATATGGATTCTTTAGC